CAGAGTCTGTGTGGGGTAAACTTCTTAGATAAACGCAACTGACAACTTCTGCAGAAGGATTAATTTTTGTGTTAACAAGGTTATACTTCCACTCTGTACTGTTGCCCTATGAGACTGCTACCTTTCAGTTAAGGTCACCATAGAAACAGAAAATAGGTTTACATTCACCTGACCTGCATAAAATGTTAATAGGCCCCAAGGCCAGAAGATAATGTACAAGACCCTCATAAACTAAGAAGTACGCAGAAAACACCCTAGTTTCGTGAAGGACAAGCTGATGTAATGTTAAACTATCTTCCCCTTAGAAATGTACTAATTTAGGGTATAAAAGCTATGATAAAAAATAAAGCATTGCCAGACTCTGCCATACCCTGCCAGACTCTGCTGTAAACACCCTCGTCTGGTCACTCTCTCTCTCGTCATCCTGAGACTTGGCCCTATCAAGGCTGGTCTCACGTGTCTTCTCTCTCTCTCTCTCACTGACGCCGTTCATCCTGAGGGTACCCCCTGGATCCTGCCGGGGCTGGACCCTGGCACCCGGGGAAAGAGGAACCAAAAAGTGAGATCTCTGACATCACCACCCTCACTTTGTACTTCTTATCCATTGCTTTCCTCCTGGTTTGTTCACTTGTTCTATAAAAGTTTACTGAGTCTTTATACTCTGAGCCAGTCCCTGCATTCACATAGGCTGTGAGAGATGCTGAGAAGATTGGGATGTAGTTACTGCTCCTTGGCAGTTCACGGATTGGTGTGGATATAAGACATCGATACCATTAGATACAACTCAGATATAATTCAACTTGTATTTACATAGTAGTTAGAATGTGCCAGGCTTTGTGTTAGATATAGTTACACAGGATATATTTTTATGTTTTAAAGTAACTTGTACCAGCCAGGTCCCAGTTTTACAGATAAGAAAACCAAGTCCCAGATAGATGAAGTGACTTGTTGAAGGGGTACAGCTTGTAGAGCCAGTGGTGGCCAAAAAAAGAGAAATAACCAGACCTTGCCCTTGGGTTGCTCCTGTCTGGCAGGAAAATAAAACTCCTGCCTGGAAGACAGTAAAAGACAAATCTAGGACTCAGTGTGGTTAATGGTAAAGTCAGGACCCACTACAGGGAGGGTTTAGGGGACTTTCAGTAACAGACAGCGTGAGGAGACAAAGCCATCTCTTTCATCTGGTGATTTTGAATCTTCCTTCTTTCTGATTATGTAGTCCAAGAATCTGAACAAGGGTGAGAGAGGTGATGGCAATTATAGGCATATCCCATGGGGCCAGAGGCCTCTGCTATCCCAAGATGTGACCATTTTGCAAGAAACGGTAAGATTCCAATGCTGCTCAGTCTCTTCTCTTCTTCACCTGCCCTCTTCTCTGTCATTCTTCTAAGTTTTATGAAAACATATTGAAATCTCCCTTATATTCCTCTTCTCCCAGGAAAATAAATTGGTGAAATACCTGTAGGTTAAGGACCAGACAAAGATCCCCATCAACCACTCAGGTAGAGTCATACCAACCCTCCTCCCTAAGCTGTCCTTTCTACTCCCCTCTCCTCCCAGTCATGGGAGTAACCATTTAGTTTTATGGCCTCTTCATTCTCTCACATGCTCACCCCTGCCCTTTTCACACTCTGACATGGCTGGCATTTCCCATTAACACAGTTCAGGACTCAGACTATACTGACCCCACAGGGCTGGCAAAAGGGCTATAGCTCTGTGGCCCCTTCTCATCCCAACTGTTCCCTTCTCTCCCTTCCTGCAGACATGCTGAAGGATGTCATCCAAGAATATGATGAATATTTCCCAGAGATCATTGAGCGAGCAAGCTATGCTCTGGAGAAGGTGAAGGGGTATCCTCTGGGGGATGAGCACAATGGGGAACTCTTGAATGGAACAAAGGTGTATGCATCCCTTTGCAGGGAACCACAGAGACTGACTAATCCAGTCCCATCCCCATGCAGATGAGCAGATGGTGGCCTAGGGAGAAGCTTAGACTAGCTTGGGGTCACACAGCAGGTACAGCTAAGACCCAAGCCACCCAACTCAACCCTGGCTTCTGTTCACTGCTGGACACATCCTGTAGTATATTTCAGATATTCACTTCTCCCCTCCATTTCCCATTCTCTGTCTCCCTAGAGTCCTATTAATCATAAAGATGATTTGGTAACAATAATGCATTTGTTATCTGTTTGCTGTGTGCTGGCCACTTAGCTAAATGCTTTCTATGCATTATCTTACTGATTTCTCACACACACTCACAAATCCTAGGTAAACAGGGAACTGCGGGATGCTCAGCTAGCTCATTGATGCCTAGGCTGAATTTTGTGATCTCACACGCTATTCTTTTTTCTTTTTTTAATTTTGATTTTTTTAATTTATTTTTTTAAATTAGTTGGAGGCTAATTACTTTACAATATTGTAGTGGGTTTTGTCATACATTGACGTGAATCAGCCATGGATTTACATGTGTTCCCCATCCCGATCCCCCCTCCCACCTCCCTCTCTACCTGATCCCTCTGGGTCTTCCCAGTGCACCAGGTCCGAGCACTTGTCTCATGCACCCAACCTGGGCTGGTGATCTGTTTCACCCTAGATAATATACATGTTTCGATGCTGTTCTCTTGAAACATCCCACCCTCGCCTTCTCCCACAGAGTCCAAAAGTCTGTTCTATACATCTGTGTCTCTTTTTCTGTTTTGCATATAGGGTTATCGTTACCATCTTTCTAAATTCCATATATATGTGTTAGTATACTGTAATGGTCTTTATCTTTCTGGCTTACTTCGCTCTGTATAATGGGCTCCAGTTTCATCCATCTCATTAGAACTGATTCAAATGAATTCTTTTTAATGGCTGAGTAATATTCCATGGTGTATATGTACCACAGCTTCCTCATCCATTCGTCTGCTGATGGGCATCTAGGTTGCTTCCATGTCCTGGCTATTATAAACAGTGCTGCGATGAACATTGGGGTGCACGTGTCTCTTTCAGATCTGGTTTCCTCGGTGTGTATGCCCAGAAGTGGGATTGCTGGGTCATATGGCAGTTCTATTTCCAGCTTTTTAAGAAATCTCCACACTGTTTTCCATAGTGGCTGTACTAATTTGCATTCCCACCAACAGTGTAAGAGGGTTCCCTTTTCTCCACACCCTCTCCAGCATTTATTGCTTGTAGACTTTTGGATAGCAGCCATCCTGACTGGCGTGTAATGGTACCTCATTGTGGTTTTGATTTGCATTTCTCTGATAATGAGTGATGTTGAGCATCTTTTCATGTGTTTGTTAGCCATCTGTATGTCTTCCTTGGAGAAATGTCTGTTTAGTTCTTTGGCCCATTTTTTGATTGGGTCATTTATTTTTCTGGAGTTGAGCTGGAGGAGTTGCTTGTATATTTTTGAGATTAATCCTTTGTCTGTTGCTTCGTTTGCTATTATTTTCTCCCAATCTGAGGGCTGTCTTTTCACCTTGCTTATAGTTTCCTTTGTTGTGCAAAAGCTTTTAAGTTTCATTAGGTCCCATTTGTTTATTTTTGCTTTTATTTCTAAAATTCTGGGATGTGGGTCATAGAGGATCCTGCTGTGATTTATGTCGGAGAGTGTTTTGCCTATGTTCTTCTCTAGGAGTTTTATAGTTTCTGGTCTTACATTTAGATCTTTAATCCATTTTGAGTTTATTTTTGTCACACGCTATTCTTTTACTTGGCAGATGTTTCGAGTCAATCTGAAGGAAATTGATAAACTAGCTTGTGTATTCTTATCAGCATTCAGGAATCCTCTACAGGCATACTGAGAATGTAAGCTGGGAAAGGGCTGCAGTGGGAGGGACGCTTCTGATTTTTTTTGTTGTTGTTGTTCATGGTACTACTCCATCGTTGTCTTTTCCCCACATCCCCTTAGGAAGTCAGGAAAGACAGAGTCTAAAACCCCCTTTTCTATCACCCACACATAGTTGAAGCCCTGCACACAGGAGTGGTGCCCCTTTATGATTTTCTGGAGGGTGTAGAAGCCTGGGTTACTCCTACTGTCAGATTTTCTGTTTCTCTAGAAGCTTCCCTGTCTCTTCCTATCAGGCTTGGTAAAGTGGTTCTCAAGGGAAGGCTTCCTGGTGTGGGTGAATCATGATGGTTGATGGGCAGGAGCATCAGTGGGGCTGTGCCTAGAATTCCCTTGGAACTGAGGTGTCTGGAAGAGAAAGAAGGGACTCACATTGGTTGGGTGCCTAGATCATACCAGGCTGACAAGCATTCTATCCTCTCAGTAACCTGGGAAGAGCAGAATGTTATTTTCCCATTTTATGAATAGGAGACTAGGCTCAAAGTCTTAAGTGCCTTGCCCAGGATCATATAGAGCTTGAAGCATAGATTGGGCATAATTCTCTCATATCTGAAGAATCCTTGAGAAGCTAGCCTAGTGATCTGGCTGGTGTTTTTTTTGTTTTGTTTTGTTTTGCAGATGGCTGCTGTATGTAAACCTTCTCTCTGTCCCATTATTCCCCTAGGACCAAGGGCACACCCAAAATAGATCTTCTCATGGTGATTCTGAGTGTCATTTTTATGAATGGCAACAGGGCCAATGAGGGTAAGTGGCTGGGCTGGCAGCTACATGGGTGGGGGGAGGGGTCATGGTCAAAATTGCACACGTTGATTTTCTATCCCTGTTTCCTTTTGCCTCCCCTTGCAGCTGTCATCTGGGAGCTGCTGCGTAAGTTCGGGCTGTGCCCTGGGTGTGATTGGGCTCTGTCAGTGCTTGCTGTCCGTGTCATCCTTTGGCAAGAGAGAATGGTCCCAGGATTGCATCAGCCTGGTGGTCTGGTGGGGTGGGTGGATGTGCTGGACTGGGTCCAGAGTTCTGACCTGGGTGGATAGGGAAATGGTCCTGAACTCTCTGCTTCCTCTTTCTCCTTTGTCCTCTTTCTGTTCTAATCTGATATATAAGATAGACCTTAGGGCATCCCTGATAAGAACCATCTGACCTCAACTGCCTGCTTCTAGTGACCCTGTGTTCATTATTTTCTGACTTAATTGAGATGGCCTCATGTGCTAGAGAGGTCTCTTTCACATTGGGAAATGCCTCTGCCCCCATGTGGGAATATCTGATCTTGGTTCATGGGTTATTTTCCCCATTGTCAGGGTAAGGCACTCACTCTTTGGGGAAGTGAGGAAGCTCATCACAGATGAGTTTGTGAAGCAAAAGTAAGTAGTGTTTGTCAGGCTTTATCAGGACCTGAAGTGTTCTGGGTGTGCCAGTCAGGTCCAGAAAGTGCTTGATCAGCCCTTTTCTTACTCTAACTTTAGATGTATGGGCATTATGTTTCCTAGAACTAAGTGAGTCCTGTCCACAATTACCATGGTGGACCATACCAGGGCTGGGCCAGACCAAACACAAAATCCTTGCTATGGGGTGTGCTCAGAGCAGAATGCCCAGAGAATGGCTTCTCTGTTTCCAACACATCCAACAGAAACTTGGGTTTACTCCTCATAGGTGGCAGAATACTTCAGCCTCCCTGTGACACCATACGCTATACATGCCTCCCCTGTAAAACCAAGTGACTGCTTTGTACAGAGCCAATGGGAAATGGCTCAATATTGGAGGTTAAGACCATGAAATATGTTTTGGAGTTAGTCTGGGGAAGGAGGGCCTTGGATATCCTTCTCCAGGAGCTGAGTTTAGTACTTGATTGGAGGAGGTTGCCACCTGAAGCCAAGTGGTTAGACAACAGGTGTGCTTAGTTAGAAGCAAGTTTTATTTCTTTTCTCCAAGGTACCTGGAATATAAGAGGGTCCCCAACAGCAGACCACCTGAATATGAGTTCTTCTGGAGATTGCGCTCCTACCGAGACTAGTAAGCTGAAAGTTCTCAAGTTAACTGAAGGTAATTGAAGAGCTTCCCTCACTTGGCATATTAAGGGTAAAGGATGCCCCTAGCTGGGGCAGGCAGTGTACAGGAATGGACAGGTACAGGGTAGCCTGCAGTTCATATATAAACATATGGAACTTCATTTATGTCCCAGAATGCTGCTTGACATAAAGTTTACATCATTTCATTCATTATTCATACTTTATATTAGTTTCCTTAACTGCTATAACAAAATATCATAAATTGAGTAGCTTAAACAACAGAAATAGGAACTTCCCTGTTGGCCCGGTGGCTAAGACTCTACGCTCCCAAACTAGGGGGCTGGGGTTCAATCTGTCGTCAGGGAACTAGGTCCCACATGCCCCAACTAAGAATTCACTCACATGCCACAACTAAAGCCTGGTGCAGCCAAATAAAAAAAAAAAAAAAAAAAAAAAACCCAGCAGAAACATTTTATTATAGTCCTGAAGGCTAGAAGTTCTAGATCAAGGTCCAGGAGCATTAGTTTCTAATGAAACTTCTCCTCCTGGCTTGCAGAGTTCATGTGTTCATGAACTCTTGCTGTGCTCATGGTGGAGAGAGAGTTCTTCTTTTTAAAATAAGTATTTATTTCTAATTGGAGGATAATTACCTTAAAATATTTTGTTGGTTTCTGCATTTATTAACATAAATCAGCTATAGGTATACACATGTTCCCTTACTCTTGAACCTCTCTCCGACCCCAGCCCCCTAGATTTTCACAGAGCACCGGGTCTATCTCCCTGCATCATACAGCAAATTCCCACTGGCTATTTGTTTTACATATGGTACTGTATATGTTTCTATGTTACTCTTTCCGTTTGTCCCACCCTCTCCTTTCCTGCACCCCCTCCATGTCCATAAGCCTGTTCTCTATCTGTGTCTCCATTGCTGCCCTGCAAATAGGTTCATCAGTACCGTGTTTCTAGATTCCATATATATGCATTAATATATGATATTTGTTCTTCTCTGACTTACTTTACTCTGTATAATGGGAAAGCCTCTTCTTAAAAGGACACTAATCTTATTGGATCAGGAACCCACCTTTATGACATCATTAAACTTTACTTCCAGAAAAGCCCTACCTCCAGATATAGTCACATTCGAGGTTGGTGCTTCAACATATTAATTTCGGCAGGACCAAAGCATTCAGTCCATAACATACGTACTCTCTTATCATTTCTCCTTATCTCTTATCATGCAAGGTAATAGGATAACTGCCCTGACTTGACATATTAAGGGTACAAGATGTCCTTGGCTGGGGAAAGCAGTATACAGTGATGGGCAACTTGCAGTTCATTTGCGATAAGAAAGTCAGTATGAAGACAGAGATGAAGACATTTAGGCTCAGTGACATCAAGTAGCTTGTCCAAAGTCACATAGCACCTAAATTATCAGAACTGAAATTGGATCTCAGGACTGACCCATGATAGAGCCCTAACAACTAAGAGTTTTTTTAAAAATGCTACTCTTAGCTTTATACAAAGCCCATGGTACGTACTTAATACATAATTACAAATGTTATTTTTATTATAATGATTGTAATTCTCATTTCACGTACAAAAAAAAGACCCCAAGGACTGGGCCATGCAGTACCAGGAAGCAGTGGAGATGCAAGTCCAAGCTACAGCTGTGGCTATAGCTGAGGCTGAGGCCAGGGCTGAGGCAAGAGCCCAAATGGGGATTGGAGAGGAAGCTGTGGCTGGGCCCTGGAATTGGGATGACATGGATATCAACTGCCTAACAAAGGAAGAGGCAATGATGCTCAGGCCTGGAACAGATTTTGGCTTGAAATTGAGGCCAGAGCCCAAGAAAATGCAAATGCCAGTGCCAGCATTGACTTCAGCAGAGAAGCTAGCACCAAGGCTAGCTATAGTGATGGTTCTAGTATTAGCTTCAGTGGTGTACCCAGCCCTGGTAATGGTTTTGGTGGCAGAGCTGGTATTAGCTTTGGTGGTACATGCAGCAACAGTGCTAGCTTCAGCAGTGTAGCCAGCATTTGCTTTGATGGCACACCCAGCACTTGTTCCACTTTCAATGGTAGAGCCAGCATTAGCTTCAGTGGTACAGCGAACACCAGCTCTAGTTTCAGCAGTGAAGTCAGTATTAGCTTTGGTGGCACACCTTGCACCAGTGCCAACTTCAGTGGTGGGGTCAGCTGTAGTTTCAGTGACTTGCTCAACACCAATACCAGTTTCAGTGGTGGAGCCGGCTCTGGTTTTGGAGGCACAGTCAGTACCACTGCTGGTTTCAGTGATGCATTCATTACGAGCACTAGCCTTGGCAGTACACTTGGCACCAGTGCAATCTTTAGTGGTGCACTTAGCACCAGCACTCACCTAGGTGGCACACTCAGTACTAGTGTCTACTTTGGTGGTTCTCCCAGTTCTAGTGCCAGCTTTGGTGGCACACTTAGTACCAGTATCTGCTTTGGTGGCTCTCTAGCACCAGCACTGGTTTTGATGGTGTACTCAGTACCAGTGTCTCCTTTAGCAGCCCTTTCAGCAGTTGCACTGACTTTGGTGATACACTCAGCACCAATCTTAACTTTGGTGGCACACACAGCACCAGTGCTGGTTTTAGCAGTGCTGTCAATATTAGCAGTGGCTTCAGCAGTGTACCCAGCACCAACTCTGGCTTTGGCAATGTGTTTGCTGACTTCAGTGGGGCACTTAACACCTCTAGTGACTTTGGCAGTTCTCCCAGCACCAGCATTGGCTTTGGTGGAGCTCCCAGCACCAGCTTCTGCTTTGGGAGTATATCTAACACCAATCTGTGCTTTGGTGGCCGTCCTAGCACCTGCTTTAGTGGTCCTACAAGTGCCAGTTTTGGTGATGGACTCAGCACCAGTACCAGTTTCAACTTTGGTGATGGGTTAAGCACCAGCACTGGATTTCATGGTGGGCTGAGCACCAGCTCTGGCTTCAGTGGTAGGCTGATCTCCAGCAATGTCTTTGGTGGTGGATTTGGCAGAAATGTTGGTTTTGGCAGCACACTTGGCACCAGTGCTGACTTTAGTAGTGGCATCACCACCAGTGATAGCTTTAGTGGTGGACCAAACACCAGCTTCAATGGAGGATTGAGCACCATCATTGGCTTTGGCAGTGATTCCAGCACCAACACTGGCTTTACTGGCAATCTCAGCACCAGCACCAGCTTTATTGGCGGACCCAGTTCTATTGTTGGCTTTGGCAGTGGACTGAGCACTGATGCTGGCTTCAATGGTGGACCAGGCAGTAGTGCTGGCTATGGCAATGGACTGAGCAATGCTGCTGGCTTTGGTGGTGGAGCCACTAGCCTTGGTGCCTGTAGCTTCTCCTATGTCTAGTGAGGTTTCAGGTAATTGCAACATTTCCATAGCCAAGGCCCATGGGGATGAGTATAAGAGCTGGGAGATGTGATAAGAAACCCTCAAGGTGAGAGGGCAGTGTGGGGAGTTGAGCACAATGAATGAAGTATGAGGATATAGTATATTTGGTGCTAAAATGTGTTTTCATTTGGTGTTTTGTTTTCAGGTTTATCTCTCATGTTTACAGATACTGCTAATGAATCGCAGCAGTCCTTCCCATGGAGCCAAGGTACATCCTTGGGATCTTTGTCCATGCAGCAGTCTTAGCAGATATTACCAATCAGCCGAGGGTGACATGCTATGAAAACAATCTGTTTGCCAATTCTGCTTTGTTCTTTGCTTTTTGTGTTCTATCATATTTGGTATCATAGTTACATTAAATTTGCAAAATGAATTTCAGTTTGTTCTGTCTTTTAATGTGCTTAGGTTGATGTGGGTGATATTTTGGTTTCATAGAAGAGCTAGAGATCAGCTCAGCTCTTTGGGGAAGGTGGGCTCTGGCTTTACACTAAAAGGAAAGTATGACTTCAGTGGGATAGAGTCTTGGGGAAAGCATAGCAGACCAGCAGAAAATAGCCTAAGTCAAGATATAGAAGGGGAAGCCTGGAACAGAAGGCAAAGGGAGCAGATTCTTGAGATTAAGTACAGTTTCATTTTGAGATATCTAAGAATGGAGAGATAGACAGGGACATAACTAAAGGTGGACATAGCAACAATGGAGGATTTTCTTGGCATGGGAGAGAGACCCAAGTATGTTGCATAGACTATGGATGCAAAAGCCAACAGAGAAGGATGGGATATAGATGTGGAATAATCAGGAACTGACTGAATCAACTTATCCTTGAGAAGGTGGGATGGATAGGATACCAGAGAATAGAGAGTGGTCCTGACTTTGAACAGAATTTAATGGTGGCTGTGGAAGGAGATAAATGTAGATTTGCTTCAAGCAGTGATCATCAACCCTGCAATAGATCCCAATAAAAAAATGATGTGGATTATACAAGGTTTTTAGTCTTGCTGGTGGTTGTGATGGGAAGACAAAAAGGAAGAAAAAAAAGGCAGGGGGTGTATGAGTCTGTATCTTCACAACTGCATTGCTGGTACCTGCCCATAGTAGCTGCATGGAGATTGGCTGAAGAGATAGACAGTAGGATCCAAGATGGCCAGGGATGGAAGAAAAATGAAGAGGGAGAGGACTGAGTGATTGGGAGATACTGAAGGAATCAAAGGACTTATACTTGATGCAGTGCAAGGGTAAATATTGTTCATTAAAGAAATGCTACATACATGCCTGCTGTGTGGGAGGATGACACAGAGAGTTATAAGGACTAGGGGGCCAGTGGTCAGACAGTGAGATGCTTGTATTTAAGAAGTCAAACTGGGGAGAAGTCTAGATGATGCCAACCAAGGTCCATGGAGTGACTGACTGAAGGGAAGATGATCACTGAAGTTGAGGGGGCAGGGCACTAGGTGACCAGGGTATTGTTTGGATCATTTATATGGACAGTGAAATCAGTCAGGATGGCAACAAGAGTTGGAGAACTGTGGTCTAAGTACAGATTCTTCTTTGAATATAGGGATGAAAGTGTCATGTTCCCAGTCATGTTGCCCACCAAAGAACAAGGCTATAGGCACTCACATGGACGCTCTACCTTCACATTTGGAGATGCTTCTCCAGAGCCCTTTTATCCAGGAAATTCTCACCCAGTCCATACCCCACAGAACCAGAGCCATTTCGTAGGGTCAGGATCTTAAGAAAATCTTGTAGGAGAAGCTTCACAATGACCTCCTTTATCCTTTTGTAAGCAGTAAGGGAAGTCTTTATTGATCAGGGAATAGGAATTAAAAAGGAACAAGTTCCATCTTGAGCTAGACAGCTCCTTGTTTATAGCTAGAAATCAAGGCCTATTTTGGAGCTGATGAAGGTTTCTTTACTGGAGGTGGGTCTCTTCCAGTGAGGCAAAGTTCAGAGTGTTCTCATTGTAAGAAAAGATCAATAATAGCTCCTAAAGGTGAACCCAAGAAAGGAGAGAGGCAGTTTGATGTCTTAGAAAGGGCTCAGTAGTGGGCAGGAACAGTGTCCAGGGCTTCTTCGGGTTCCCGGCTGATGTCCACATTCTGAGAGGAAAGAACCTAGTATTAGTAGGAAGGAACCAGTAGTCTGGAGCCCCCACCTTTCCCTGCCTCTTGTTCTCACTGCCAGGCTCCCCTCTTTCAGCCAGACCTGAATCCTTACTGTTTCTTTAGGCAAGCCTTGGGGAACCTCAGCCAGAGTCCTTCTAGGCAGGGTTGCTCTAGCCCTGCTTCTCTATGGTATCTTGAGTCTGGTCTGTAGTTCCTACATTTCTGGGTGCTGGTTTTTCTACCTGTTTGTGGAAACACCCAAGCTCTGTGGGAGTGGGGCGGCCTTTCTGCCGGGGAGGGTGCTTTCACAACATCCCAGCATGAGCCACAGAGTCCCTCACCTACCTCAGGCTTCTCCCGATGTGTGTTTACAGCCTCCACATTCAGGTAGATGGACTCCACCTTGCAGCCTCAGAAAAGAACAACCAGTCCATCCATAAGCCACCCAGGTGAGCACAGGTCTCCCCTGAGGTGTCATTCCCTCTCCCCATCAGCACCCACACCCCCAGCTCCATGCTGTGTGCAGGTTATAGCTGCCCTTTAGGGAGGGGAATTTAGACCAGCTGTGTGATGTCTGGGGAAGACATCAGGCCTAAGAGGCAGGCTCTGTTCCTAATAGTCTCAGTGTTCTCTGAGCCTCCCTTGTCAATGGGAATGAGAATTGAGAAGAGATTATCTCTGCCCCACTCCCCAGCTCTTTTCTGTGAGATAGAAACCTAATCTGTGTAATAAGGATGGAGCTTTGCAGAGCTCCCAGCTGTGTTAGGTGCTGAAGTGCTAAAAGAATCTTGGGGCCACTACCTTGGGGCAATCAACCCCAGGTAAAGTTTATTTTGAGAACTATGTGGTTACTGCAAGATCAGAGGTGTGGAAGACCACAAGGTACTTCTGGGGAGCCACAAGAAAGAGGAGGGTGGTATTGGGGTTTGGATCTGGCATAGGAAGCCCAAAGCCTGTGGAAGCCCCTCTTTCTCTGGTCCCTTTTGGGGAACCCCTCTTCTACAGCTTTGTGCTATATGATTGGTGCTCTGGTAGAGACAGAGAAAGCTGGGGCCACATCCCAGATTTAGAGGCTACCTAAGTCCTTCCCCCATTGTCATCTTGCTACCACCAGTCGTGCCTCTACCAAGACACCTAACTATCCACCCAGGGAATCTCTCTCAGGACTTTGCAGGACAAATGGTAGGCACTGCTGGCATGCTCATAGTGTCTATATACTTTTCCCCAGATGAAGGTGAGGGCACTCACCATAAGCCACAGGTGTAAGTTTGAGCACTGTGTGCAGAGGGCACTTGAGATAAGGCAACTCATCTGGAAAGGAGGAGAGAGCAGCTTTCAGAGGCAGGATGCTAGGGGTGTCACCACCTCTCTGGGGTTCCAGTCTTAATGCACTCTTCCCTTCCACCCCAACCCACATGGATGTCTTTACCACACTCTTCAGGGGGCAGTGCTGAGAGCCCAGTGGGGAGGAAGGAAAAGAGCAGAGAGGCCTCAGGAGCAAGGAGGGCGGTGGGTCCCGGGGATCTGGGACAGACTCTGGGTCCCCAGAAACCAAAGATTGGCACTGTGGAGGTGGCTGACCTCCTCAACTGCAGGGCAGACATGAGAGTAAGGCAAGCCTCCCTCCCATCCCCACTCAGTCCTACCACAGGGTCCCCCACCTCAAAGGTCACAGCAGGTCTCAGCCAGTGTTTTCTGAGGCCCTACTATGCACTGGGGCCTTGGCTGAGGTGCATGTACCTTGGCAGCTCTCGCAGCTTTCTCCCCAGCCCAGGCCTGTGCCCTCTGACTCCTTGAACACTTGTTGATGGACAAGCATTCCCTGATTCACTTGTGTTCAGTTCCTGATGATTTGCACGCAATGACTTGCATGGCCTTGATGGCAGTCACCAGATAGCCTCAAGGGAGCGGATGACCAGGCACACTCCATGGATGAGGACCCTGAAGCTCTGAGAGGGAAGACACTTGCCCTGAGTCCCACAGCCAGGAAGTGGCAGTGCTGGGACTGGAACCCAGGATGCTTTGAGCCCAAATGTGTGCTCTGACCACTGAAGTCTTCTGCCACTGCCTTTGAGGGATGCACAGTGCCGTGTGGTGACACTCCCACCTCTCATTCCTTTCTGTAAACACCCATCCTCCTGATCACCCAGAAAACATATTCAGCTTTCTATCTTCCTTCATTGAGCCAGTACCCACCCATCATGGCCTCCCTGTCCCTGAGGGTCATGCTAGGCTTTTCAGGCCTGCCATGGCCCACCCAGCCTCCTGACACATAAAATTTCCTGGGCAACCAATCTGCTCCTCCTCCTTGCCTTTGTCATCATCATCTTCAGGTGCTGGGTCCAGCGCTTTTGGTCTACTACCTCACTCCATTCTCACTGATACTCTATGGGAGTTACTGTTCCTCACTGCAATGCCTGACAAAATAGATTCAGAGAAGGGAATCAACTTGTCTGAGGTCTCTGACCCAGTTCTGCCACTGCCTAGACAAGTGATCTCAACCATGCTTTTTCTTTTTCTGGTCCTCAAAGATCTTATCTCTTATAGCACAGGATTGGACCCAGCTCTGAGGTCCTATGGATCTGAGTTCTCAGTCACAGCATCTTCCTGAGTTTCAGTTTCCTTACTTCAGCAATAGCAGTAAGAGCATGTGCCCAGTTGTGCCTAGCCCAGCTCCTAGGACAGCTGTGACAAGCTGGCATGGCCTGTTCATGAAAGCGGGTAGTATATGGGTAAAGCAGTGGGCAAATGGGAGATGCATGTGCTTCCCATGAATCCCATATGTGTCTGAGATAAGGTGCCTATGGAATGCACCCAAGATTAGTGCCTCTCTCTGCCCCACTGAGCCCTATGATCTCGGGCAAGTCACTTCATCTCTCAGAGCCTCCATTTCCTCTTCTGCACAGTCAGGGTTACAGGGCCAGCCTCACAGTCTCAAAACTAGTACTGAGCAGTAGAGATGTGAACAGTATCAGAAATCTAGCAGCACCACCCCATCCCCTGTCACCTTTTTTCCATTGAGGAGACTGAGGACCAAGCAAAGGAAATTACTTGTCCAATGTCAAGTTCTCAAGTCCTCCAGGTTCCAATTCTAGATGACTCCATATTATAAGAGCCCTTTGTTTGGAAGCTAGCATCATAGAAAAGATCCAAGTCTGCAGGACATTGTACACTTCAAATATGACTTTGCACTGTCCTCACACATCCTTACTCCAGTATCCTGGAGATGCCAACACTTCAGCTTCCATTTCAGAAATAGACTTTCACACCTGGAGGTGACATGATAGTCCCTTGCCAGGACAGCTGCCCTAGCTTGCAATTTGTAATCAGTGTGTAAATACTCTGCAAATGAAAATATCCAGATTTTTTAATAAAAATAAATTATCATTTAAAAATGAAAACACCACTATCTTGGAGAAATCATCTCCAGAGCAAAGATAGAAACCTATAATCAAAATCAAGACGCTAGGGACTTCCCTGGTGGTCCAGTGGTTAAGATTCTGTGCTTCCATTGCAGGGGGCGTGTTGGATCCCTGGTCAGGGAAATAAGATCCTCCATGGCACATGCACGGTGTGGCCAAAAAGTTAAAAAAAAAATCACAAGAGGTCCCATTCCACTGATGAGAGCATGCCTCTGAGAAATACTGACTCAGCTTTCTCGGGTTGAAACAGATTGTTAAGGTTGGCTTTGAAAATGTTAACTCATAATAACACTGATATTAATAATAGCAGCTAACACTTATATGGCCCATACTTTGTGTCATGAACTGTTCTAAGCTCTATACATATGTTAATTTATTTAAACTTCATCATTCTCTCCATTTTACAGATGAGGAAACTGAGAACAGAGCCTGCAACCTGCTAAGTCGCTTCAGTTGTGTCCAACTGTTTGCGACCCCATGGACTGTAGCCTGCCAGGCTCCTCCATCCATGGGATTCTCCAAGCAAGAATACTGGAGTGGGTTGCTTGTGCCCTCCTCCAGGGGATCTTCCTGACCTAGAGATTGAGCCCACATCTCCTGTGGCTCCTGCGCTGTAGGTGGATTCTTTACTACTGAGCCACCGGGGAGAGGTTAAAGTAATTTGCCAAAGGTATCACGAGACAGAGTAAGAACTTGGACTCATGCACCCTTGTTCTAAATATTGTACTCTTAACTATTAAGATATAAACCACCAGTTTCTGGTGTCAGAGAGTCTCAACTTACATGCAGCTCCCATGCCAGGAACAGAGAGAAAAGTGGTACCTGAGCTCTTGTCCAGAAAGTAGGCCAGGAGGCACCGCATGACAGCCTGGTGGCAGATCACCAATACATTTTCCTGCCGCTCTAGCTCCATTATAACTGGCTCCAGACGCTGGACCAGATCTTCATAAGACTGAAAGGGAGAGAAACATTTGTGTAAGAAGGGGAGATGAGGCACATTTGCCCTGAGGAGAAGAACTCTAGACCAGGAGTCAGGAAAACTTGATTGTGGTGCCAGTTCAGTTGTTGGTCAGCAGTATGACCTTGGGCAACTCACTTCCTTCCTAGGGCCTTACTTTTTCATCTATTAATGGAGCAATCAATATAGTGGAGTAGACAACAATAACAATAATAAAACTTTCCACTAAAAAATCCCTAGAAAAGCTGGATAAAATAAATGTTTGCACTGCTGATCTTTCAAGAAAACACAACATTATGAATATAGGGTTCCTAAATGAAGAAAAACTTGGGAAAAAGAGTGATGAATAGATATAGAAGCCATAATTCCCATGGGGGCATTTGTCAATCACAGTATCCAAGAGCCTTGAGCTTTTAAAACATAATAGAAATATGAGATGAAGCCTTAGGTGTGTATAGGGTAGGGATTTGGGACTGAGACCTTCAAAGGACTACATCCTCAATAAAATTATAAGCTAAAATATATCCACAGGCAAAGGAAAACAATAAAAAAATGTGTCTCTGTCTGATTCTTGGAGGAAAAAATTAGGAAAAGCCTCCACTAAGAATGTATAACCCCAAACATATCGTTAGATAGATTTGTGGTTCAGAAGTATATTACCCATGTGTTTTAGAAAATGCTAAGCTGAGAGTTTAATAAAGAGTCATTTCAAGTCATTTGCTTCCAGGAGTGTCTAGAAGAAGCAAATGTAAATTCTCTCTAGATTCTCTCAACTGAGGCTGCATGGATTTCCCACAGATAAATTTTTTCAAACTGAGGCTCATATAACACACACAGAAAATAAGCTATAATAAGTAAAAATAAGCAGAACTCTAAAAACTTAAGATAAAGGATCCACAATATAAAATAAATATTCTCAAGATTTTTAAAGAAGTAAAAGATTGACTCAAAAATGCAAGGAAGAAATAAGATGCTATTGAATATAAGATCCAGATTTGAAAAAGAATTAAGTAGAATTTTTATAAATGAAGAATATATTCATTAAAATGGAAAACTCAATGGATAGAGTAAGCAGAGCATTAAATAAAATGTTTTGGAAGAGAGAGCTGAAGAAATTACTCAGAATGTAGCAAAGAGATCGAAAATAAGAAGTTTGGAGACATGAAGCATAGAGGTAAAACTAACACATATCTAGTTGCATTTCTACAAGGAGATAATAAAGAAAATATGAGAGAGGAATAGCTAAAGATATAATGCCTGGGAATTTTCTAGAACTGATGAAGAATCTCAGTTCTCAGATCCAGGAATTCCAATTAATTCCAAGCAAGATGAATTAAAAGAAATTAATGTTTAGACACATCAGAGTGAAGCTTAAAAGCAATAGAGACCCAAAGACCCTAAAGCAGCCAGAGAGAAAAGAAATAACAATTAGACTTGTAGGAGACTTCTTAGCCATGTTAGAAACCAATCAGGAAGACAGTGGTGATGATAACTCCAGAGAGAAAATTGTCACCTAGTGTTTGATACCTTGCCAAAGTACCATCTAGGTTTGAGGACCACCCCTCCAAAAGACATTTTTAGACAAAAGGAAAGGTGAGTGTACTACCAACAGATCCTCCTAAAGAAAATTCTAAAAGAAAGATAGACATTTAACTCAGAAGGAAAACTTAAGATGTAACATGAAAGAATGATCAAAGGAATTGGTAAATATGTGGCTGAATCTAAATAAACACTGACTATATACAATATTTTTTAGTTAGTAAAAATTATATTTTATTTAGATAAGTGATTTCCCCTCATTTCTGCTATATAAAATCCATTTAGGAGAACAGAATGGGGGTTCCTTAAAAAACTAAAAATAAAACTGTCATGTGACCCAGCAATCCCACTCCTGGGCATTTATCTGGAGAAAACCATAATTCAAAAATATACATGCACTCCAATGTTCTTTGTAACACTATTTACAAAAGCTAAGACATGGTAGCAACCTAAATGTGTATCAACACGAATGGATAGAGAAGAAGAACCTAAATATCTATAAATAGATGAACTGAATTATAATATATTCCATTGTATACATATAAATTTCATTGTTTCATTGTGTATATATTAATTAACATATATAATGGAATATTACTCAGCCATCAAAAGAATGAAATAAGGCCATTTGCAGCAACATGGGTGAACCTAGAGATTATCTGAAGTCAGACAGAAAAAGACAAATATCATATGACATCACACATATGTGGAATATAATTAAAAAAAATGATATAAGTGATCTTATTTAGAAAATAGAAACAGACTTACAGATATCAAAAACAAACTTATGGTTACCAAAGGAAAAATGTGGGAGGGAGGATAAATCAGGTGCTTGGGATTAATACACACACACAATTATACATAATATCGATAATCAGTAAGAGCCAGCTGAATAAAACAAGGGACTCTTCAATATTATGTGATAACCTATATGAGAAAAGAGCCCAAAAAAGAATAAATATATGTATATGTGACACAACATTGTGAATCAACTATAACCCAATAAAATTTTTTAAAAAGAAAAAATCCATCTATGTGGGTACAAAGTTTATTGTTTGGAAGTAATTCTATTTTATCTAGAATTCATAATAATTTTACTTTGGTCATGTCAATTTAACCCAAAAATGCAATATGTTGGCATTATAGGGACAAATAGTGATGTATTCTGATAGATTGGTATAATGGAAGTAATTCTATTTTATCTAGAATTCATAATAATTTTACTTTGGTCATGTCAATTTAACCCAAAAATACGATATGTTGGCATTATAGGGACAAATAGTGATGTATTCTGATAGATTGGTATAAATTGAAGTGCTTCAGCAAGAATTCATTCAATTAACACTCAATGAGTAAGCTGTGCTTACAATAATAAATATAATACTAACAATAATAATTCGTTTGGGGAATAAGACACAAGTTTGAAGTAAGTAAAATAAAAAACAATAATTAACAAGCAATATAAGAGTGGGAGTGACCAGAGTTGTAAAGTTTTTATATTGATTCAGGAGGCAGGTAGAGATATTGATTTTTAGATTTTGTCAGTCATACATATTAAAATGTTAAGAGTAACTCTAAAAGAATGGAAAGAGATTGCATAACTCAAACATAGATGTAAAATTTTATCAATTATAAAGAAGGGAGGAAAAGACAAAAAATAACCAAACTTAAAGAGCTCAAAATAAGAGAGTAGAAATAAGTTCACATAAATTGGTAATTAAAATAAAAGTATACCAAACTTGCCATTCAAAAGTCATATATTTCCAGTATTTATCAAAACCAACAAAACCCAGCTCTATGTTGTCTATAGGAAACAAAACAAAACTACACAGAGAAGTTGAAAGTAAATAACTAACCAAATACTGAGCAGACAAAATTTTAATATCATATAAAAAAAAGCATTATTAGGGGGGAAAGAGGCTTGCTCACTATATAATAAAATATACAGTTTACTAAGGAGATATAATTGCTTTAAATTTGTATGCTTCTAATAATATAGCCTCAAAATATAAAAAGGAAAATGAGGGCACAGTCACTGACTTCATAATGTCATTTCTGAGGATGAAAATACAAATGTTAAAGTGCTTTGTAACACAAGATATCTATCATTTCATCTTCTCTAATATTCTGCTTTCTGATAATTTTCCTCAGGAACCTGTATCAGAAATGGAGTATGGCTAATAAATATTCTAACACGTGGAACTGGCTAAATGGAGGCTGGGTTGAAAGCAATGAGGATTCACCACCACATGGAAATAGGGAACTGATAATCTGGTTCATATGGTGGCAGAAGAGTTGGTTAAACCATTAGCCATTGTCACTTGGGACTCCAACCTACAGTCCAGAAAGGCTGGAGCTTTAGGCAACTTGGCAATAAAGTGTCAGAAAATTAAAGTACATTAAAATATTTCAGATGCCATTAGTGAAAGAATATTAAAGACAAAGTCTAGGATAAAGTGAGCCTTCCTGAAAGAAGGAAATAAACAGGCAAATGTACTGCCTTTAAAAAGAGGAAAATGTTGTTTATAGCCAAGAATGAGAGAGCCAAGGGCCAGATAATCATGTGCTTTGTGGGATGAAAGATGCTGCAAAATTTGCTTTACCCTGTTTCTAAAGCTGTCCGGGGAAATATGGAATCCTGGTAGTTGGAATAAAGATACTGGGGAGGAGTCCTAAGAGTCCGGCCACCCCTCCAAATCTTACCTCTCCCTTGGGATAGCGGTAGCGGTATTTATCTTGGTCTCGCAGTGCAAATTCTTCAGGGTAGTGTTCTTGGATTTCTTCATAGGTCATCTCCTCACAGACACCCTGAGAAAAATTATTTGGGGACAAAAGTTTATGCAAGTTGAAATCTCCACAACCTTTACCATAGGTCCGAGGCCAATGATCATGGAACATTAGCACACAAGCACCTGGGTTTCTGTTAACACACCTCTAGGTTTGGGTCTGCTGTCTGTTATTGTTGTTCAGTCACTAGTCGAGTCCAGCTATTTGCAACTCCATGAACTGCAGCACACCAGGCTTCCCTGTTGTTCACTATCTTCTGGAGTTTGTTCAAACTCATGTCCATTGACTTGATGATGCTATTCAACCATCTTATCACCCCACCAAGCAACCATCTCTGTCACCCCCTGCTCTTCCTGCCCTCAATCTTTCCCAACATCAGAGTCTTTTCCAATGAGTCAGCTCTTCAAATCAGGTGGCCAAAAGTATTGGAGCTTCAGCTTCAGCATCAGTCCTTCCAATGAATATTCAGGAGCATATAAGTTAAATAAGCAGGATGACAATATACAGCCTTGACGTACTCCTTTCCCAATTTTGAACCAGTCCATTGCTCCATGTCCAGTTCTAACTATTGTTTCCTGGCATTCAAACAGGTTTCTCAAGAGACAAGTAAGGTGGTCTGATATTCCCGTCTCTTGAAGAATTTTCCACAGTTTGTTGTGATCCACAGTCAAAGGCTTTTGCGTAGTCAGTGAAGCAGAAATAGATGTTTTCCTGGAATTCCTGTGCTTTTTGTATGATCCAACAAATGTTGGCAATTTGATCTCTGGTTTCTCTGCCCCTTCTAAACCCAGCTTGTACATCTGGAAGTTCTCGGTTCACATACTGTTGAAGCCTAGCTTGAAGGATCTTGAGTATTACCCTGCTAACATGTGACATGAGCACAACTGCATGATAGTCCCTTTGGTATTGCTCTTCTTTGAGTTTGAAATGAAAACTGACCTTTTCCAATCCTGTGGCTACTGCTGAATTTTCCAAATTTGCTGACATACTGAGTGTAACAGTTTAACAGCATCATCTTTTAGGATTTGAAATAGCTCAACTGGAATTTCATCCCCTCCACTAGCTTTGTTGGTAGTAATGCTTCCTAAGGCCCACTTGACTTCACACTCCAGAATGTCTGACTCTAGGTGAGTGACCACACCTTTGTGGTTGTCTGCATCATTAAGACCTTTTTTGTATAGTTCTTCTTTGTATACTTGCCACCTCTTCTTCCTGGTAGGTTATAGTCCATGGAGTTGCAAAGAGTTGGACACAACTGAGCAACTAACACTTTCACTACTTCACTTTACTGCCTCTATGGAAGGAGAAAATACATTCTATTTGTTGTCTGGTGTATGTGTATATGTGTGCACAAGGTATATAGCTGTGTGGATGTGAGAATGAGTGCATGTGCATAGGTGTGTTCAGGCTGAGTGCATGGTGGGTATCTGTGGTGCTTCTCTATGATTATCCTAACAGGTTTATAGATGTACATTGTACATATGTGTGTATTTTTATAAATTTGTGGGTTTAAGAATTTGTGACTGTGTTTGTGTAGCTTGCTCATGATGTGTATTTTTGGTATGTTTAAGGTCCTATGCTATTGGTTGTGCATTTGTCTCAGCATATATATGTAAGTATATATATGAGTATGTGTATATAAAGGATGGCACGTCATCTAAGAATGTGCCTGCATAGGTGTCTCTGTGGTCTGTCTCTTCATGTGGGTCTCTATGTGTCTCTGTGATGTAGATATATGCACAGATTGCATGTGTGTCTATGGTGAATGTGATATGTGCCTCTAGGTGTGTCTGTCTGTAAGAGTGTGTGTGTGCATGAATGGTGCACATATGATTGGTAGATGTGTCTGAGAGAAAACCTGTGTTTGACTAGTTAGTCTATGTGTCTGTGAAACGCATATCTGTGAGTGTAAACATACCTGTGGTGGATGTCTGTGACTGTGTATGCAAGTGCATGTGTATGTACATATCCACAACAGGACTTTTCAGTGTTATAGGCATTTCCCATCCCTCCTGCCTACACTTCTTCTCCAGGACCTCTGGCAGATAAAAAAATAGGTATCCACAGACCTCTCTCAGAAGGCAAGAATTAGCAAATTCCTCAGTTTCAGAGTTGTCCTTGGGGATATACATTCTCCTGACCCAAAGAAGGAATTAAGGGCTCTCAAAGAATGAGTTCTCACTAAGAAATCCACAGAAGTGAGGTGGCTGTTGGTAGAGGTGGGATCGATGTTGGGTTTATAAGATTCCCTTCTAGTTTGCTAGATTCCAATTAGACCTTCCTGTAGTGAAGCAATGGGCTCTGGTTGTCTTCTGAGCCACCAACCAGGCTTTCCTTAGGAGTTAGGTTCACCCCTGTCCCAACCTACAAGAAGATAGGCAGTGTCAAACCTGCATCTGACACTGCCCATGGGAGAAAATGCACTCTGTATATTCACAAAGTCCTTCCAGATTGGCTTTGACTTTTTATTCTGAGGCATGCTGGGAATTTGTTGCCTGTGGAAGTGACCACTGATCCCTTATTGACTTAAAGAAATCGCCTAACTTCTTTGAATTTTATTTTCCTCATCTGCAAAATAAGGATAATTATAACTATCTCACAACAGTATTTTGAATATTATAGATAATATATATAAAAGAGACTAGTACAGAATGTACAAGGCACAATTAAAAAACAATCCATGGAATATATTACTCTATAATTAATATTGTTTAGATTATATAGTAATTTAAATAGATCAATTTAATCTAATGTTATTAGGTTAATATATCTAATTATTAATATAGTATTGGTAATGGAAATAAACCAGAAAGTTAGACATCATTCTAAATTCTTCCTCCTTCTTGACCCATCTCTCATAGCTAATTTCTGAGATTCTAATCCTTAAATTTCTCTCAAATCTATTCCTCTTTCTTCTCTCTCCATCTCCACTGCTATAACCTTAGTAGACCTATACACATACACAATTCCCTCTTTGCTTATGCTGCTTTCTCTGCATGATTACTGATCCTCTCTACTTGGCTCACTGTTACTCAACCCTCAGGTTTTAAGTAGGTATCACTTCCTCCAGGCAGATCGTGGCTGGGTCAGATGCCTTGCCCCAGCATCTGTGTGCCCACATTCTAGCCTACCAGAGTCTGCATCACACATGCTGTTTTGTATTCCTCTGTCTACCCTATTTTTTTCTGAAAATTCAATGAAGACAGAAACCAATCTCTGTCTCTAGCACTATTCTAGAGTTTGAAATGGAGTAGGGATCCAATAAGTGCTTACACCACATGTGTGCCATAAGCAAACAATAACTGAACTATTATGATGAAAGTTGTCTCACATGTATTTTATAATAATATATGTCATATGTATAACAATGTTGTATTTCCCTTTTCTAAATATGTGTGTCTCTATACATCTACAGTTAAGTATATATGTTATTATGCATGTACACACACACTTCCTGTATTTATCTAGCAGGCAGTCAGATTAACCTACCTACACAGAAGTTATCTACATCTGTGATGAAGCTTTTACTTTAGTATCTAACAATCATAACCTGTGGGCTGCTACCTGATGTAAACGTGCCTATAGTGCAGGTGAGACAATGGAGAGGAAATATCTTCTTAAAGAACTCATGGAAAAACCTGACTCTAAAGAGAGACTGTGTCATGAGGGTCAGATGAAATATTCACTAAGTTTTTCCTTCATTTCATCTCCAATACACATCTGGTCCATCACACCCTCACTTCTTGCCTAGACTAATGCGGTCATCTCCATACTGGTAAGCATTCTCATTCTGGCCCTCTTCCCGCCTAGTCTCCAGACATGATCATGATGGAGTCATGGATGGAGTCTTCACAGCATGGTCTGTAAGAAAATGTGAATCACATTTGGCCCACTCCTCCTTTTGAGGAAGGAGGTAATTTTTTAAAAATAATTTTTAATCGGAAGATAATTATTTTACAATGTTGTATTGGTTTCTGCTATACAACAAAGTGAATCATCTTTAAGTATACATAGATCCCCTCCCTCTTGAGCCTCCTTCCCATTCCCCACCCCCCTCCTTTAGGTTATCACAGGGGACCAATCTGAGTTCCCTGTACTATACAGCAGCTTCCCACTGGTTATCTATTTTGCACATGGTAGCCCACTCCTTGACTTAGACCACACCAATGTTTTCCCATTTTTAGGGTAGCATCCAAATCCCTCAATATGGACTATAAAGCCCCATAAGCTCTCTTCTTTTCCAACCTCATCTCCTTTCTCTCCAGACCTTACAATCACTATCTCAGACTCTCTGCTATTTTCCTTCAGTTCCCTGAACATGCTATGCTCTATTATCATCTCTGGGCTTTCACGTGAACTGTTCCCTATTCCTTGAACTAAAATTATTCCCTTACCCAAGTACATTTTGCCTGCTTCTAGGAAACTTTCCTTCTAAATCTTCCACCACTGTCTTGTCAAGAATATCCTCACCTTCTGAGACTCTATAGACCCTTGTATTTCCCCTCTCACAAACTTTTGTTGCATGCAATGCAATGTCTTATTCACTGTCAACCTTCGGGTTCCATTAGAGTAAAGACCTTGTCTATTCTGAACTTCACTGGATCCCCAAGGCACAGAACAGTGTTTAGCACAAGAAAAGTTTGTTGAATTAATTAGGTTTTGCATATGAGCCAGAGCAAAGGCAATCCAGGGGATAAGTCTAGAGTCACTACCCACCAGGGAATCCATCCCCCTCCATCTCACCGCATCAATCTCATTCAGGGCCTTCCATTGCTCATAGGGAACGCCTAAGGCTTCAGCTGTCTGGATGGTCCTCTTCATGTGGCTGGTCCACACCTTCAGGGAGCTGATACCCTGGGACTGAATGAAATTGGCCAGGGCATAGGCATACTGAGGAGTGGGGGTACAAAGGAGGAGAGGATGAGAAAAAGAGAGATGAAAGAAGACAAGGTGGCCGTGAGAATAAATTTAGATCTACCACAAATAATGGAGTGATAATGAAAAAAGAGGAGTAGAGTTTAAATGTTTCCAATTTACAAAAAGTCATATTCTTGCCCACATGACTAAGGACCAAGGGAATAGAAAATAATATGTGTATTTATGTGTGTATATGTGCGTATGTGTGTGTGTATTCACTGCTGCTTGTTCACAGAACCTCCTACTTGGCTATTCATTCATTCAAACAGTTCACTTCTAACATTTGTGGGCCTGGGACAAAAGTACAAATAGAAGCACTCCACTTATAGTCCACCTCCCTTCTTTTCCCATTTCTGCTCCACCCTGTACTCCTAGGCACCTTAAGTACATGCTTATGGATAATCCAGTCACAGGAACAAATTCTGTCTATACCATATCTTCACCAATTCCCATGACATACAAACAGTGACCCCTTGGCCATTCCTTTTCCTAGGGGTGAACAATTTTGTGACATGTCCTGTTCTCACGTGAACAGACTCTGGGACAGGCCCCATATAAATACTGGAAGCAGACTCTGGGCAGGAAATTCTAGGATTCTGGGTACTCTGAATATGGTCTGAAAGTGTATGCGAGTGGGATGTAGGGGACATTTCTCTTTGACTTTGTGAATTCTCATTGCTTGAGCAGAGGACCTGGTACTAAGATTCTAAGGGCATTCAAATATTTACTGAGTGTGTGTAGCCATGTGTTGGGTGCTGGGGTGGCCAGATCTCGAGATATAGCCCATCCAGTGAGGGAAACAGTGACAGCACCAAAAGGAACCAATTAGGTTTGTGGAAGTGCATATGAACAACTGGTTCACTCTTCTTCTGCAGATAGGCAAGTTTTTAATCATAGATGATGTGTGGGGGAACATCTGCACAAATGTACAGATACAGGCACACATTTTTATGTACGGATATAGGCATTGTGTCCACACATTCTAATTATGGATTATGAGTCAACAGTCAGTGTGCTCTGGTGGAAGGAGTCCTGATTGGGAGACAAGTGATAGGGTTTAATCTACCCCGGCTCCCTTACAGGGTCCCCTTGTGCCCTGGGGCATATCATGGGCCCACCTTGGCTTTGTATCTCCTGACTGTAACATGCAAACAGCATTAGCTCACCCCGCCTGGTCTCTGTGAGTGTCACATTAGATAGTAGAGGGGAGCCACCAGAGTGCTCTCTGGCACATAGTGAGAGCTACTGTGTTCGATTGTGGATGACAGTTGATGGGAAAATACTTTGGAAACCATGCATGCTGCACTGTGCTCTTTAGCATGAAAGTTGGAGCCAGGCATGTGCATGTACATGTACACATTTCTGTTTAAGGAGGCATGTTGTATGGAGATGGCCATGTGTCCAAACTGGGTGCTTAGTTGTGTGGGCAAGGTCATGGACAGCCCCAACCAAGAGACCCCTGGCTGTAGGTGGTGCCACAGGCTTGGGTGGCATCTCTATGGCCTCTGACTCTTCTTTGAGGAGTGAGAGAGCTAATAGTCAGAAGTCAGAGTCCACCTTGAGGGGATACTGCCAGTCTGAAAGTAACAGAAAAGGAGCCAAGAGGACTGAGGCTTCTGGTGTGGTGACTTGCCTGCAACACTGCCAGCTCTGCAGTGGGGGAGGCTGAGGGGCAAGCAGGAAGGCCTGGTTTTCAGTCCTGGCTCTGTCCTTTACTGAATGTGTGACCAGAGGCCACTTTCTGTTCCTGTCTGGGGCTCAGCCTCCTCTTCCATAAATCAGTGATGGTAATGCCCACCCCACAGAGTTGTGAAGATTAAATGAGGCCACAAATGTGGAAGTAGATGGTGCCATGAATGCGCAGATGTGTCCAATAAAAGAGGGAGCTCCTTCCCTCCTGCACTTCATTTCCCTCTTATCCCACCCCACGTCATCCTCCCAGCAAGAACAATACCTATATTAACAAGCCCACTGAAAGTGAAAATGTTAGTCACTCAGTCGTGTCTGACTCTGTGACCCCATGGACTGTAACCAGCCAGGCTCCTCTGTCCATGGAATTCTCCAGGCAAGAATACTGGAGTGGGTTGCTATTCCCTTTTCCAGGGTATCTTCCCAATCCAGGGATCAAACCCAAGTCTCCTGCACTGCAGACAGATTCTTTGTCATCCAAGCTACCTGGGAAGCCCCTTTAACAAGCCCAGGGAGAGGGCCAAACGCAGGAAAATGTGTCTCTTTACTTGGGCAGCACGTATAACATGCAGGTCATTATTCTTGACTAGAAAGAAGAGACTCCCACCATTGGCTTCCCTGATAGCTCAGTTTGTAAAGAATCCACCTGCAATTCAGGGGACCCTGGTTCGATTCCTAGGCCAGGAAGATCCGCTGGCAAAGGGATAGGCTATCCACTCCAGTATTCTGGCCTGGAGAATTCCATGGATTGTATAGGCCATGAGGTTGCAAAGAGTTGGACACCACTGAGCAACTTTCACTCACTCATTCAGAAAAGAGACTCCCACCATGAAGGTCAGAGATGGGCCAGAACTGGGGGATATGGAGTCCAAGTGACCTGCCTAGGAGGGCAAGAGAGGACAGGGGAGGGCTTCCTGGATCAGCCCATGGAGCAGGAGATGGGTCCTGGAAAGGGTAGAGAAGGGAGGGCAGGAAAGAAGTGGTAACTGGTGGGGGACAAGAGTCAACTCTATGATGACCGGCAGTGGGGGTTTGAGAGCATAGCATCAGCCCTTAGTAATGCAGGAAAAGATGGATTCAAGTGTGGGGCACTTCAGGGCAGCTGTCTGTGCAAAGGATGGTCACCAGCTGACAGAAGGGACAGAGGAGGGCAGCATCTATGGCGGAAACTGCACAAATGAAGACACAGAGTTGTGAGAAAAATGAGGGGACCAGTCAGGCAGGAGAGACAGTGCTCATTTTAATGGGGTTGGAGGAGCAAGTGGTCTGGGAAGGCCTGGTGTGCCAGGACCAAAGTATCAGAGTTGCTGGTGGCACATGGAAGCCATGCAAAAATGGGTCAAGACTGAGTGGCTAATGGGGTGGAAGAGCAGGAGTAGCCAGAACCTGCTTTTACCTTGTCACTGAGCCCCTCCACCCTCAAGACCCAGTCAGCAGCCACCCCACCAACATGTGGCCCACTTGAACCAGCCCAGTCAATGTTTCAGAGTGCATGGGGCTTTCCCTACCTGCTTGCCCCGAGCTGAGAGTCCAGAGTCACCTCCAATACGGCCTCTGAGGTTGAGTTCACTCTCACCATGCCGGCACAGGTAGATGGAGCGGGGTGTGACGTGAATGTTCATGAGATAGTAGACTGTGCGGCTCTGAATATGGTCCTGCACACGATTCACCATGTAGCGTGTGCCCACATCGAAGATCTTGATGTAGGACAGGTGGCTGGGCCAGTCCAAGCAGGAGCAAGGGCAACTCAGGAGCTGATGTTGGAGAGGCTGATCCCAAGAGAAAGCCCCAACCACACACCCTGCCTTCAAGCCTACTCCACAATGCCGCTCTCACTTACCTTTCCTCTAGCCTTGCCTTGTTCTGCATACCTGTTCTAGAAACTTGGTTCCTGGCCACCCTGAGGAGCTCACTGCCTGCTACCATCTCCCTTTGTCTCCTTTCCTCAGTCTCAGCTTGAGCCAGACTGTTTTTTTCCTTTCACTCATTACACTCCATGCATCTAGTATTCTCTCTTCTGTGGTTCACATTGCTGACATACTGAGAGAGAGACAGTAATCCTTCAACAGTCAAACAGGAAGCAAATGCAAGTGGCCTGTGAGATGCTGGAAGCAGTCAGGGACAGGCAGTCAGGCACAGGGTATGGTCACTGTTCTGTCAGGTCTGAGGGTCAGAGCATCTGCTGTCATGCTTACAAATATGTTTTAAAAATATCTGAAATACTTGGAGATCTTTTCATGTCACTAAAGAACTCTGGCAAGGGTGGGCCCTTTAAATTATCCAGGTCTTCCAATACATTTTAAAATAGAATTCACCTAATATTCTGATATAAACATCTATTGCATAAAACAAACAAACAAACAAACAAAAAAAGCAGCTGCCAACTGTGCCTGACTGACTGTCCCTGACTGCCTCCAACATCTCACAGGCCTTTTGCATTTGCTGAGCATTTTGTGTGTGTGTGTGTGTGTGTGTGCATCTGGCAGGGGTGGGAGGTTTCAAACTGCATAAATCCTCATAGCCATCCTAGGAAGTGGAGACTATAATCTCTGTTTTATAGGTGAGGAAACTGAAACACAGAGAGAGGAAGTGATTTGCCTGATGTTAAAATCTCCAACCTATGACTCTTAGAGCCTAGGTGGTAAATGTCTGATGTCACCTTGTTGTCTTGTTCTTGACACTAGGTTCTGAGTGGCACTAGGATAAATTCCAAATTCCTTAGCTTATTCTGACATTCTAGGTGCCTTCATACCTTGGCTGTGCTTGACCTAACCTCAGTGTTCCATGTCCATGCTCATAACTTTATTTCATTTCAGCCTTAACGCTTTTGCTGAAATATTCTCTGTACTCGTCTACTTTTTATTCAGACTTAACTAGGCCTTTACAAGGTACTGTTCTCTGTCCTTGAAAAGATGTTCTTTCCCTGGTTTCCAAAGCTGAGCTCCTATGCATCTATCCTCCAAGAGTCAGTATATTCACTCTTTCTACGAAGTTTTTTTAAGCCCAGGATCATGTGAATCATTTAGAGGTACTTCACATTAAAAGTACTGCGTTTTCTATTTCTTCTCGGCATACCCCCATCATTTATAATTTAAAATAAAAATTATCAGTTCAGCTCAGTTGCTAAGTGTTGTCAGACTCTTTGCAACAACATGGACTGCAGCACTCCAGGCCTCTTTGTCCATCACCAACTCCCGGATCTTACCCAAACTCATGTCCATCGAGTCGGTGATGCCATCCAACCATCTCATCCTCTGTCATCCCCTTCTCCCCTCTTCAATCTTGCCTCTCATCAGGGTCTTTTCCAATGAGTCAGTTCTTCACATCAGATGGCCAAAGTATTGGAGTTTCAGCTTCAGCATCAGTCCTTCCAATGAATATTCAGGACTGNCACAGTCAAAGACTTTGGCATAGTCAATAAAACATGAGTAGGTGTTTTGGTTTGATTTGTTTTTTGGAAGTCTCTTGCTTTTTCATTGATCCAACGGATGTTGGCAATTTGATCTCTGGTTCCTCTGCCTTTTATAAAACCAGCTTGAACATCTGGAAGTTCATGGTTCAGGTATTGTTGAAGCCTGGCTAGGAGAATTTAGAGCATTACTTTACCAGCAATGTGAGATGAGTGCAATTGTGCCATATTTGAGCATTCTTTGGCATTGCCTTTCTTTGGGATTGGGATGAAAACTGACCTTTTCCAGTCCTGTGGCCACTGCTGAGTTTTGCAGATTTGCTGGCATATTGAGTGCAGCACCTTCACAGCATTATCTTTTCGGATTTGAAATAGCTCACCTGGAATTCCATCACCTCCACTAGCTTTGTTTGCAGTGATGCTTCCTAAGGCCCACTTGACTTCACATTCCAGGATGCCCGGCTCTAGGTGAGTGATCACACCGTCATGGTTATCTGGATCATGAAAATCTTTTCTGTATAGTTCTTCTGTGTATTATTGTCACCTCTTCTTCATATCTTCTGCTCTGTGAGATCCATATCATTCCTGTCCTTTATTGAGCCCATCTTTGCATGAAATATTCCCATGGTATCTCCCATTTTCTTGAGGAGATCTCGTCTTTCCCATTCTATTGTTTTCCTCTGTTTCTTTGCATTGATCACTGAGGAAGGCTTTCTTATCTCTCCTTGCTATTCTTTGGAACTCTGCATTCAGATGGGTATGCCTTTCCTTTTCTCTTTGTCTTTAGCTTCTCTTCTTTTCTCAGCTATTTGTAAGGTGCCCTCAGACACCCATTTTTTCTTTTTGCATTTCTTTTTGTTGGGTATGGTCTTGATCACTGCCTCCTGTACAGTGTCATGAACCTCCATTCATAGTTCTTCAGACACTCTATCAGATCTAACCCTTTGAATCTGTTTGTCACTTCCACTGTATAATTGTAAGGGATTTGATTTAGGTCATACCTGAATGGTCTAGTGGTTTCCCTACTTTTTTCAATTTATGTCTGAATTTGGCAATAAGGAGTTCATGATCTGAGCCACAGTCAGCTCCTGGTCTTGTTTTTGCTGATTGTGTAGAGCTTCTCCATCTTTGGATGCAAAGAATATAATCAATCTGATTTCGGTGTTGACCATCTGGTGATGTCCATGTGTAGCATTGTCTCTTGTTTTGTTGGAAGAGGGTGTTTGCTATGACCAGTGTGTTCTCTTGGCAAAATTCTGTTAGCCTTTGCCCTGCTTCATTTTGTACTCCAACGCCAAACTTGCCTGTTACTCCAGGTATCCCTTGACTTCCTACTTTTGCATTCCAGTCCCCTACAATGAAAAGGACATCTCTTTTTGGTGTTAATCCTAGAAAGTCCTGTAGGTCATCATAGAACCACTCAACTTCAGCTTCTTCAGCATTAGTGGTTGGGGCATAGACTTGGATTACTGTGATGTTGAATGGTTTGCCTTGAAAACGAACAGAGATCATTCTGTCGTTTTTGTGATTGCACCCAAGTACTGCATTTTGGACTCTTTTGTTGACTATGAGGGCTACTCTATTTCTTCTAAGGGATTGTTGCCCCTAGTAGTAGAAATAATGACCATCTGAATTAAACTGGCCCATTCCAATCTATTCCTATTCACTGATTCCTAAAATGTCGATGTTCACTCTTGCTGTCTCCTATTTCACCACTTCCAATTTACCTTGATTCATGACCTACTATTACAGATTCCTGTGCAGTATGGTTCTTTATAGCATTAGACTTTACTTCCATCACCAGTCCCATCCACATCTGGGCATTGTTTTTGCTTTGGCTCCATCTCTTCATTCTTTCTGGAATTATTTCTCCACTCTTTTCCAGTAGCATATTGGGCACCTACCAACCTGGTGAGTTCATCTTTCAGTGTCACGTCTTTTTGCCTTTTCATACTGTTCATGGGTTTCTCAAAGCAAGAATACTAAAGTGTTTTGTCATTTCCTTCTCCTGTGGACCACGTTTTGTCTGAATTCTTTGCCATGACCTGTCCATCTTGGGTGGCCCTACATGGCGTGGCTCATAGTTTCATTGAGTTAGACAAGGCTGTGGTCCATGTGATCAGTTTTTTTAGTTTTCTGTGCTTGTGGTTTTCATTCTGTCTGCCCTCTGATGAATAAGGATAAGAGGCTTATGGAAGCTTCCTGATGGGAGAGACATCTTTATACTAAAAATTATAAGCTATCTTATAATATGAGGAGGTTCTACTGATTTCTGGTTAGATCTTTTCTGTTTTCACTACCTTGGTACTGTTTTTGAAATATTGTGTTGGCCAGAAAGTTCGTTCAGAAAAACCCAAACAAACTGTCTGCCAACCCAATATAAGCTATCAAAAGCTTTCAAGACTGCCTTTTTTTATTTCTTATTTTTGGTAGTCTCTACCTTGCTGGTGCCCTAAATACTTGGCAAACATGCTCTTCCAGATCTTTTCCTCAAAGTTGGACTGGATCCCCTCTTCTGTGCTCCCCCACCCCACTTGCTTTACCATCCCCCAATTCTGGCCAGCTGCATATTCATTGTCTTCTTCAATCAAGTGGTCATTCTATCAGAGCAGATAGCCTATCCCTCTTTGTATTCTTAGGGCACAGCTAGGTTTGGGCCTTGATGCATGGATTGTAAATGTCTGTTGATGGAAAAATGATTAGATAAAGTCAACTTTCAGAATCAGTTATCTTCAGATCTGAACTGATTCATGAAACACTGAGCACCTGCAGAAGTCTAGGCCAAAGGCTAGAGCTTTCTCAATGCTGTTCTTTCACTTTAGCGCTCTTCCTTTGAACTTCTCATATAGTGACTTTGTGGAAATTTGAAAAAGTTTCCCTCACTCCAGCACAGATGCCTTGATGAGAAAAGCAATTTTACCCTTGACCTGGCACAGTGAACAATATTCACAATCATACATAAGGTCATGCCCCTTGCGCTGAGTATCATATGACACTTTTTATGATATAGGTATGTGGGAGGGGATAACCATGATGGAAGTTTGAAGATAGGAATTTGAGTATATATTCTGCTACTGACTCATTGTGTGGCCTCAGGTAAGCCCTTGCCCTTCTCTATGTCTAAGAAGTGAAGCAGTTACAATGTTCACCTTGGGGATTTTGGTTGGACAAAGCTGGAAGGATGCTCTTTAAACTTCTTAGAGTGGTGATGACTATTAGCAGCCTCCTTATACTTCTTACTTGAGGCCCAAAGGGTCTGAGTGACCAGGGTCTCTTCTCATCACAATCTATTTTGAAAGAAAGTGAGCTTCTGGGAACACCTTATGTCTAAAGCTAACATTTTCCATGTACTTCCAGCTAACACCTCTCCAATCTTTAGTTGGTGTTATGAATGAAAGTTTCATATTTTTCATGCATCTTCTCATATATCAAAGCACTATGGAAGCTACCTGAGGGTAGAATCTACTTTTCTTGCCCTTATTTACACCCCCTATATACACCACAGCCCAAAGAAGTCAAATACATATTGACTGAAATAAGGTATATGTGCATTGTGAAAAAAGACATGATTAAGAGACAGAATGTGTGATTAAAATCCTAGCTTTATGTGGCAGAAGATTGAGCAAGCTCAAGCTCCTTAATATGCAATTTCCTCTTCTTAAAAATTTGTGATCATAAGACCTATTTCAGCCTCCTTAACTGGAGTGCCAAGGGCATTCAATGAAACAAAAAAAAGGTGAACATGTTTGGAAACTGAAGTGTCATTCATATGTGAAGAATACTTTTGAGAACATACTAGTAACGACCATAGGGGAGAGGCATTTTCTCCCAGAGACCAGGGTCCTAATATGTCCATATTGTTCAGTAAAACATTACTTCAATCCTCTTGTGAACACCTTACACATCAAAGAATCACCATGTCGTGGATAATTAGAGCTGGGAGGGCCCTTGAAGACAGATCAAGTGTAGCTCCCTGATGTTGCAAATAAACTTGAGACCCAGAGAGGGAAGGCATTTCTTCAGGTCTTATAAGACATCAAAACCAGGCTAAGAATCCAGACCTATAATTTGTGGTGCTGGGTTCTTACCTATCCAGTTCATCATCCAAAGGTTGGTAGTTGACCTCATAGCACTCTATTCTCTTTAGAAAATCTTCCAGAACCTTTTCACGATCACAGTCTATATAATCAGGACTGCCAAGTTTCACTTGCTGGAAGAAAGGAGAAAGAACCATGGGAGACAGAGATTCTGATAGTGCCCTTGGGAAGAGCTCTTAGAGTTCACTGAGTACAATATCCCTCATCATAAAGATGAGGAGATTGAGACTTAGAGAGAGGGCCTTGCTCAAGTTTACAAAATCAGACAGTTGAAGAGAATCTGAATGGTATAACCCCTCATTCCTTATCTCTGTGTGCCCAAACAAGGTCTGTTACATTATATTCAGTTCTAGAATACACAGTTTAAGATAATCATTTATAAATGGACTGGAAATTGTGGTGTGACAAATGGTTGAAGAAGAGGAACAGGAGATCTTGACCAGGGGTCATAATGGCTTACATGTATCAAGTGTTTACTGGGGTAACTTAGCATATGTTGGCTTTAGATTTCTGAAGAGCTGGCATCTTCTAATCCCTTAGGATCTAACTTCTCTACCCATATTCTCCATCTCAGTGAATGGCACTATCATCTACTCAAGTCAGTTCAGTTCGGTTCAGTCACTCAGTCGTGTTTGACTTTTTGCGACCCCATGGACTGCAGTACACCAGGCCTCCCTGTCCATCACCAACTTCCGGAGTTTATTCAAACTCATGTCCATTGAGTCAGTGATGCCATCCAACCATCTCATCCTCTGTCATTCCCTTCTCCTCCTGCCTTCAATCTTTCCCAGCATCAGGGTCTTTTCAAATGACTCAGTTCTTCGCATAAGTATTGGACTTTCAGCTTCAGCATCAGTCCTTTCAATGAATTTTCAGGACTGATTTCCTCTAGGATGGACTGGTTGGATCTCCTTGCTGTCCAAGGGACTCTCAAGAGTCTTCTTCAACACCACAGTTCAAAAGCATCAATTCTTCGGTGCTCAGGATTCTTTATAGTCCAACTCTCACATCCACACATGACTACTGGAAAAACCATAGCTTTGACTAGATGGATCTTTGTTGGCAAAGTAATGTCTCTGCTTTTTAACATGCTGTCTAGGTTGGGCACAGTTTTTCTTCCAAGGAGAAAGTGTCTTTTATTGTTATGGCTGCAATCACAATCTGCAATTTGATCTCTGGTTCTTCTGCCCTTTCTAAATTCAGTCTGTACATCTGGAAGTTCATGATTCACGTACTGTTGAAGCCTGGCTTGGAGAATTTTGAGCATTACTTTACTAGCATGTGAGATGAGTGCAATTTTGCTGTAGTTTGAGCATTCTTTGGCATTGCCTTTCTTTGAAATTGGAATTAAAACTGACCTTTTCCACTCCTGTGGTCACCGCTGAGTTTTCCAAATTTGCTGGCATATTGAGTGCAGCACTTTCATAGCATCATCTTTTAGGAATTGAAATAGCTCAACTGGAATTCCATCACCTTTACTAGCTTTGTTCATAGTGATGCTTCCTAAGGTCCACTTGACTTCAGACTCCAGGATATCTGACTCTAGGTGAGTGATCACACCATCGTGATTTTCTGGGTCGTGAAGATCTTTTTTGTATAGTTTTTCTGTGTATTCTTGGCACCTCTTTTTAATATCTTCTGCTTCTGTTAGGTCCATACAATTTCTGTACTTTGTTGAGCCCATCTTTGCATGAAATGTTCCCTTGGTATCTCTAATTTTCTTGAAGAGATCTCCAGTCTTTCCCATTCTATTATTTTCCTTTATTTCTTTGCATTGATTACTGAGGAAGGCTTTTAAAAAAATCTCTCCTTGTTATTCTTTGGAACTCTGCATACAAATGGGTATATCTTTCCTTTTCTCATTTGCCTTTCACTTCTGAGTCTTAAATGAATCTGAGAGGCCTCCTAGTTGTGTCTCTTTCTATCATCCCCCACCTCTTAGAAGGTACCTCTTAGAAGGTACCTCACTATATAGAAGGTATATATAGTGAAGATATACCTTCACTATATTTTCTAAATAGCTCCCCAAATGGCCTCCATTCTCTCCTTCCTGGATGCTCACTCTAGCTTGTGACAAGTTGCTCTGTTTAGAGTTTACTTTCCCTTACTAGTAGCAAGAAGAACAGTTCCAATGTGCACACTTGAATATGGAATTCCTCTACTTGAAACCCTTCACTATTTCCTTATCTTTTTTAGGACAAAGTATGAGATATTTTGGGCTTGTCAGGAGGCACTAGTTGTAAAAACCCACCTGCCCATGCAGGAGACATAAGAGGCACAGGTTCGATCCCTGGATCAGGAAGATCCCCTGGAGGAGGACATGGCAACCCACCCCAGTATTCTTGCCTGGAGAATCCCCATAGACACAAGAGCCTGGTGAGCTACAGTCCATAGGGTTGCAAAAAAATTGAACATGACTAAAGTAATTTAGCATGCATGCATGAAATATTTTAGCAGGTGACACATGGCTTGTTATGATTGTGCCCTGAATGATTTCTTCATCCTCATCTCCCATTGCTCTTCTAGTCCTCCACACACTTTACTTTAGCCAATCTAAGCTATTTCTAGTTCCCCCAAGACACCGTACTTAGTATATGCCATTCCCTTATTTTCCATTCTTTACCTCCTAAATACCTATTCATTCTTCAATATGCAGGTCAACTGTTATCTTCATTAAGAAGCTTTCCTATGCAAGGTTAGTTCCTCAACAGCCTTCCACAGCCTCCTTTGTTCATTTATCTCAGCACTGATCTCACAGAGTTATATCTATTACATTGTCAGTCTCCCTCATTAGACTGTGAGTTCAAGGCTGGACTCTCCTTTATCTATTTCTGTCTCTAATACCCAGAATGGTTCAGTCCAGGTGTTTGGATTCAATTTATGTTCAATCAACAAATGTATGGACAGGTGGGTGGATGAAAATGAAAGAGAGGATTTGGACATATTCTATGCCTCAAGAGGCAAAAATAGGACCAATGAGTGGAGATTATAGGGAGTCAGATTTCAGCTTGATTGGACTGCATTTAATGAAGGCAGTAAGCCTCATCATTGGAGGTACAAAAAGAAAATCTAGACAAACATTTAGCTAAGATTTCAAGTTTCTGATGAAACACTGAAGGAGGTGATCTTTAAGGTCTCCTCTGTCCCCAAGATACAGTAATTTAATGAAATAGGAAACAATAAAATGTGGTGAGTGTTCTAAATCTAGACCACATGCCTGGAATCTAAGAGCAGTGATAAATTTGATACAAATTGTGGGGCAGAAAAAAAGAGCTTTCAAGACTGATAGACAGACCTGAGGTTCAGTCCCAGTTTTGTCTCTTCCTGGCTGTATGAACTCTTGAAAACTTACTTCTCCCCTTGGAACCTTAGTTTCCTCTCTCCAGTACTAAGAAGAATTTCACAGAATCATTGTATGTCAGGATGGTGAAGGAATACTTCCTATAGGAAGTGGGAGGAGAAGCTCATGGAAAAACACCTCCTTTAACTACAGAGATATTTCTAGGCATGATCCAAATCTGAGACAAAGCCAGAAAGATAAAAACCAATACAGTATACTAACACATATATATGGAATTTAAAAAGATGGTAACGATAACCCTATAACAAAAACCACTACAATATTGTAAAGTAATTAGCCTCCAACTAATAAAAATAAATGAAAAAAAAAATAAGCTTCAACTAAAAAAAAAAAAAAGAAAGAAAGAAAGAAAGAAAAGGTGACTGGTGCTCCTTACCCTGATGTTTTCTGCAATGACGTCAGGGTCATTACAAATGGACTCAATGAAAAAGACCTATACGAGAAACAAAAGAGAGATTTCAGCAAGGAATTATGTTTGGTATGAACTAAACATAACTTGACCTCTTCTCAATGACTCTGAGCCATCTTTAGAGGCATTTCTGACAATGTAATTTCATATAGTGGTACTTTTAGGATTCTGAGTTTTATGAGGCAGATTGGCCCTAAATTGTAGTGATTCCATCTCCTCCTTCCTCATACCCACCCAACTGTGTCAGCTTCTTAGTAATGCCTTATGTGGCATCCCTTCTTTCCTGTTATGTTCTGTTTTTATGTTTCTAACTCTGATCTGGAAAGCCCTATAACTCAATTACAATGCTGAGCCTATGGTAACTGATTTGGCATCTCTGTCCCCTGGTTTGGCTTTCTTTGGTGTTTGCTCATAGATTAGTAGGATCTAGATAAGAGTTTAAGAGTTACTCTACCTTGTAACCATGTTCTTTAGCAAACTGCAGAATCAGTGACCGTCGTTCTCTGGTAGTGTTGGTGGCATCAAAAACCTAGAGGCAGAAAATTGCAGAAGAAGGTAAACAGAAAATTGCAGAAGAAGGTAAACTTCCAAACTCATTCTATGAGGCCACCATCACCCAACTTCCAAAACCAGACAAAGATGCCACAAAAAAAGAAAACTACAGGCCAATATCACTGATGAACCTAGATGCAAAAATCCTTAACAAAATTCTAGCAAATAGAATCCAACAACATATTAAAAAAATCATACACCATGACCAAGTGGGCTTTATCCCAGGAATGCAAGGATTCTTTAATATCCGCAAATCAATCAATGTAATACACCACATTAACAAATTGAAAGATAAAAACCATATGATTATCTCAATAGATGCAGA